GGTGGTCCGCTAACAGCCGGGCGAATGGCAGGTTGCAGAGCGCGCTTTCTCAGCCATTCTTAGGATCTTTGTTCACAAATCTCACGTGGAACCAGAACCCAGACCCAATCACAATTCTTGATTACATTCAAATTCACCAGTGACCAGCTTATGGGCTAATAATTTTAACTTGTGACAGCTGAGCTCATTAAGTTCCCAGAACCTGGATCAAAGGGCTCCCCCCTTTCCTGGGATGTTTCACAGATGCACATTCCCAGGTAATTAAAAGACTGATAACAACACTAGGTGGGTGTGAATAGCTGGAGCCCCAGGTGTCAAGACCCCCAATCAAACTAGAGAACAATTTACACATTGGGAGACTGTCCCGTAGTGTTGTTATCAGTCTTTTAATAAAAATTACAAAAGATAAAATCAAACAAATTCCCAGGCCCAATAAACATCCATCCCACCCCACCCCACATACAAAAAATTCAAAAGAAAATTTTAAAAACATTTTAAAAGCACTCTGCACCCCTCCAGCAGTAACAGCAACTGTCCTAGTGAGGCCCGTCAGGCCCTGCCCTGGGCCAGGTGGTAAGTGGCAGGAAGGAGCAGGGCCCCCAGACACTCACACAGGAGAGTCCTCCTGGGCAGCAGAGCGCAGCAGTCCTTATGAGGCTTCAGGCCCCGCCCCGGGCCAGGTAGATGGTAAGCGGCAAGAGCAGAGTCCTCCTGGGCAGCATAGCGCAGCAGTCCTTATGAGGCTTCAGGCCCCGCCCCAGGCCAGGTAGATGGTAAGCGGCAAGAGCAGAGTCCTCCTGGGCAGCAGAGTGCAGCAGTCCTTATGAGGCTTCAGGCCCCGCCCCGGGCCAGGTAGGTGGTAAGCGGCAAGAGCAGGGCCCTCACTCACACAGGAGAGTCCTCCTGGGCAGCAGAGTGCAGCAGTCCTTATGAGGCTTCAGGCCCCGCCCCGGGCCAGGTAGGTGGTAAGCGGCAAGAGCAGGGCCCTCACTCACACAGGAGAGTCCTCCTGGGCAGCAGAGCGCAGCAGTCCTTATGAGGCTTCAGGCCCCGCCCCGGGCCAGGTAGATGGTAAGCGGCAAGAGCAGGGCCCTCAGACACTCACACAGGAGAGTCCTCCTGGGCAGCAGAGCGCAGCAGTCCTTATGAGGCTTCAGGCCTGGGCCAGGTAGGTGGTAAGCGGCAAGAGCAGGGCCCTCACTCACACAGGAGAGTCCTCCTGGGCAGCAGAGCGCAGCAGTCCTTATGAGGCTTCAGGCCCCGCCCCGGGCCAGGTAGATGGTAAGCGGCAAGAGCAGGGCCCTCAGACCACTCACACAGGAGAGTCCTCCTGGGCAGCAGAGCGCAGCCAGTCCTTATGAGGCTTCAGGCCCCGCCCCGGGCCAGGGAGATGGTAAGCGGCAAGAGCAGAGTCCTCCTGGGCAGCAGAGCGCAGCAGTCCCTGTGAGGCTTCAGGCCTGGGCCAGGTAGGTGGTAAGCGGCAAGAGCAGGGCCGTCACTCACACAGGAGAGTCCTCCTGGGCAGCAGAGTGCAGCAGTCCTTATGAGGCTTCAGGCCCCGCCCCGGGCCAGGTAGGTGGTAAGCGGCAAGAGCAGGGCCCTCACTCACACAGGAGAGTCCTCCTGGGCAGCAGAGCAGCAGTCCTTATGAGGCTTCAGGCCCCGCCCCGGGCCAGGTAGATGGTAAGCGGCAAGAGCAGGGCCCTCACTCACACAGGAGAGTCCTCCTGGGCAGCAGAGCAGCAGTCCTCATGAGGCTTCAGGCCCCGCCCCGGGCCAGGTAGATGGTAAGCGGCAAGAGCAGAGTCCTCCTGGGCAGCAGAGCGCAACAGTCCCTGTGATGCTTCAGGCCTGGGCCAGGTAGGTGGTAAGCGGCAAGAGCAGGGCCCTCAGACAGAGAGTTTTTAGAGGAGGAAAACATGAAAAAAAATATTCTGAATAAAATGTTGTACTAAACTATTCAGACCCTCACACAGGAGAGTCCTCCTGGGCAGAGGAGACAGAAGACAGAGAGTTTTTAGAGGAGGAAAACATGAAAAAAAATATTCTGAATAAAATGTTGTACTAAACTATTTAAAGCAGCAAAGCGGGTGGCTCCTGTCCACTTTGCTGCTTTAAAGCGAGACTCAGAGGAGGGAAGGAAGGGGAACCATGGCTTATCTAAGTCCAGTTAATAATGCTGAGCCTGATTTTATATGCATCTCAAAGCCCTTGACATATATACATTATTAAGCCCGGGAGGAGGGAATCCGCTGCAGCCTCGAGCAGCAAAGAGGATCCATGGGTCCCCTTCTTCCCTCCTCCGTGGTTGCTTTGAAGCAGGAAAGTGGGAGAGGAGCTGCTTACATGGGTGTAAGCGGCTTCCCTCCCACTTTGCTGCTTCAAAGGGAGCCCGGGAGGAGGGAATCCGCTGCAGCCTCGAGCAGCGAAGAGGATCCATGGGTCCCCTCCTTCCCTCCTCCGTGGTTGCTTTGAAGCAGGAAAGTGGGAGAGGAGCTGCTTACACGGGTGTAAGCGGCTTCCCTCCCACTTTGCTGCTTCAAAGGGAGCCACGGAGGAGGGAGGGACCAACGGAATCCCCTTCCCTCCCTCCTCCCCGCCTCAGCTCAGCAGCCGCAGCTCTTGCTGGCTTTCCAATGAGCCGGAAGGAGGGACAGACCCGCCTCCCTGGAAACCCAGCCAGAGCCGCAGGCACACTCTACACAGCTCTTGCTTTAAAGGGAGAGCTGCGCAGAGCTTGTCGGCAGCAGCGGCTCTTGCTGGCTTCGCTCCATAAGACGCCCAGACATTTCCCCTTACTTTTTAAGGGGGGGAAAGTGCGTCCAGTGGAGCGAAAAATACGGTACTATACCCAATTGCTGACACAGCTTGATTAACACAACTCAGCAGAACCTGCTATGTTTCACAGCTGTAAGAGTGGGTTTCGTTACTTGCCCTGGCCCTTAAAGACATACACAACTTGTGAAGCAACAATGAACCTTCACATTTTAAAGTGACCATTAAACTGTTTTATCCTATGCCTGTTTCTTTGTCCTCATTTGCTCTAACAGTTATCGGTTAAAAATAAATAAATCCTAACTGCCACTTTATTTATATGCTCTTTCTTTTTTTTTTATCCTGGTCTGTGACCATAATAAAGTTCATACAAGTAGGTTCCAGGGTTAGGTCCCCTGGCCATGGCAACCTAGACTTACCTCCATTTGTTGTTGCTGTCTAGTCGTGTCCGACTCTTCGTGACGCTATACTCAAGTCTTTAAACTTGTCCTGGCTCCTCACCTCCGTGCAACGTGAGAAACTCTGTCGCAACAGGTTGGCACACCTCTGCCCACCTCAGGATGCTGAGGAACTGAGGAACCTCAAACGGTCCCAAGCTCCGTTGCTAGGCAACGGCAGTTGGGAACATGGAATTCCCGGCCTCAGTGCCAAGGTTCTAGGAGAGGCCGTGTGGCCTAGTGGTTAGAACACGTTAATGCCATGCAACACTAGGGTGATATATATCTATATATTCTTTGAAATGTACAGTTTAATACTTTTTCTATTATTTGTATCCTGCTTTGCAGACTCTTGTTGTCTCCTAAAGAAGCTGACAGGATTGAACCCCTGTACTTACTTATGTGTTTGCCGTGTACATTTATGAACGTTTATTTTATATTTGGGACCTTTGAATTCTGAACTCTGAACTCTGGATTAATAACATTTTAGGAATCTTCCAGAACGGCTAATTCTATTGCTGGGAAGGACTCAGTGACAGACTGGGGTTTTAGGAGAGGGGTGGTATGGGGTTGGGGGCAGGTGAGATGGAGGTGCTTGGCAGTGGGTGTGCTGTATGCAGAAAGCATACTCTTCAATTCCCATGAACCACCTCCTTTCAGTTACTGGTTTCTTGGGGTTGGGGCTAAATCCATGATCGGTCAGAGAAAAATGAGCGGCGGCAGGAACCAGTCAAAGCAAGGCAGATCTTAATTTTACTGTTGCGACAGAGTTTCTCACCTTACATGTTGCATGGAGGTGAGCAGCCAAGACAAGTGTGTGTAACAACTTTTAAAGACTTGAGAAAATGCCAATAATTATAATAATAACTTACTTTTTATACCCCCCCCCCAATCTGGCTGGGTTTCCCTTAGCCCAGAGGTTTTGGACTTTCTTGAGTCCACGGCTCCCTTGACCAACTACATTCGTTTTGGAAGTCGAACGGTCTTCAGGAACGGATTACGTTTCAAAAACTGCTGTATTTGAAAAAAGTGATTTGTGCGTCTGCATCTAATCTTGCCCCTTTCTAAAATGTATTCATTGGCGTGTGCTTCTCTTTTTGTCAATTGACCAAAAAAGAAAGCCGGGGTGAAGGGTTTTTCTCAGGAGGGCGTTTGTGCTGCATCCCCTTGGTGTGGTCGTGGTGGGAATGCTCTGCTGGGATGGGTTGGGGAACAAAAATGGGGGTTGGGGATGAGGAGGGTCAGTTGAGTGGGGAGTGACAAATGCCCCTCTTTTCATCTAAGGAACGTTGGAGGGTATGGCTGGGTGATGGCTTCAGGGTGGGGTTTGAGGGAGGCTCTGGGTTTTCCGCCCAGGCCTCTCCCTCCTTGCCCTGTTGCTCTGTCCTGACAGGGTTCCTTCCTGATGTTGCAGGTGGGATTTGAGGAGGCCGCCGCAGATGTCTCTGAGGAAGTGCCGTCCGCAGATGTCGAACAGAGGCCCCTATACGTGGAGGCCAAGCAGGAAGGTGCAAGCGAGGCCCAACTGGCAGGGAAGTAGGGCCGGATTTAGAGTCGTGCCCCCTGGATCATGCACCTTCATTGTATTGCTCCCATCACAGGCTGAAGACACCACCACTTTGGCTTCGCGTGTGCAGAGGAGGGCAACTAGGATGATCTAGAAGCTAAGCCTTGTGAGGAACGGTTGAAGGAGCTGGGGATGTTTAGCCTGCAAAAGAGGAGACTGAGAGGAGATATGGTAGCCATCTTCAAAGATGGCTGTCACATGGAGGGTGGAGCAAGCTTGTTTCCTCCTGCTCTGGAAGGTAGGATTCAAACCAGTGGCTTCAAGTTGCAGGAAAGGAGTTGGATGGGCATCTGCCATGGATGCTTGAGCTGAGATTCCTGCCTTGCAGGGGGTTGGACTAGATGACCCTCGGGTCCCTTACAACTCTATGATTCTATGATCCAAGAGACACGTTTTTCAGGTCACAGAAGATCGCTGTGACTGTAAATTGTTTTGAACTGCTTTTAGCATTGATTTTTTCCCCCTTTATTACGGTCCAGAGACCCAACAAATTGTTACAAAGCAATGCACAATTCAGACAGCCTACCTCCAGGTTAAACAAGCATTTTGTTCAGACTTAAAGACAGGGATCATTGGTTCTTGCAACCACCGATAAAAACTTTGCCACTGCTAATGTTCTAGCGTTTGTCCGGTCTTCCAATAGGAACCTGACATAATGAGCCTCTGATTTTCCCAGGAAAGGTACCGGCAAGGGTAATATCAGTTCAGCCTTGGCTTGCTCATGTTTCGCAGCAAAATATGTTTTATAGAATCGATGTCTTGAGCACATGAGCAAAGTCTGTCCTGGTAGGGAACTCCTCTCAACCTGCCATCCAACACTGCAGAAGGAAAGACGTTTAGTCTGGCTTTGGTGAACAACCTTAGATAATTTGGTACTGAATTTTAAATTTCTGTAGTCCACTGAGGGACGTTAGGGTGAAGAAATCAAATTAAGAGAAGTAAGAGACATAACCTTCTTTTTCTCATTTATTCAGCAGGTAAAAGGTGGGTGGGCATACCTGAGGGAGAGAGATACACACCTGAAGATGTTGAGGGGTTTTCCGGAGGGAGAGCAGAGGAGGAGAACTTTTCCTCGTCCTCTGTCGTCCCCTTCTCCTTGTGCCCTCCATCTTTCCCAACATCAGGGTCTTTTCCAGGGAGTCTTCTCTTCTCATGAGGTGGCCAAAGTATTGGAGCCTCAGCTTCACGATCTGTCCTTCCAGTGAGCACTCAGGGCTGATTTCCTTAAGAATGGATACGTTTGATCTTCTTGCAGTCCATGGGACTCTCAAGAATCTCCTCCAGCACCATAATTCAAAAGCATCAATTCTTCGGCGATCAGCCTTTTTGATGGTCCAGCTCTCACTTCCATACATCACTACTGGGAAAACCATGGCTTTAACTATACGGACCTTTGTTGGTAAGGTGATGTCTCTGCTTTTTAAGATGCTGTCTAGGTTTGCCATCGCCTTTCTCCCAAGGAGCAGGCGTCTTTTTAATAATAATAATAATAATAATAATAATAATAATAATAATAATAATAATAAATATATTTTTGTCCCACCCATCTGCCTGGGTTACCCCAGCCACTCTGAGCGGCTTCCAACCAAATATTAAAAACAATACAGCATCAGACATTAAAAACGTCCCTAAGAAGGGCCGCCTTCAGTTTCCTTCTAAAAGTCAGATAGTTTTTTACTTCCTTGACATCTGATGGAAAGGCGTTCCACAGGGCTGGTGCCACTACCAAGAGGGCCCTCTGCCTGGTTCCCTGGAACATCACTTCTTGCAAGGAGGGAACCTCAGTGTCCAGGCAGAACGATGGGGTGGAGACGCTCCTTCAGGTACACTGGGCTGAGGCCATTTAGGGTTTGAAAGGTCAGCACCAACACTTTGAATTGTGCTCGGAAACGTACTGGGAGGTGCTTTATTACCCCTTTGGAGGCATTTTATGCTGCAGGTGCTTTTCTTATTTCCAGTTGGAAAGTAGAATTTGAAATTTGGGGACTTCTATGGAAGACAATTTGGGACAGTTCTCTGGTAGGATTATCCTGTAGGCTTACTTACGTCTGAATTGCACAATGCAAACTGGATTAAAGTTAATAAATTATAATCTAAGACAAGAGATGGGATGGAATCTTCTCCTGAACCCACAAATATTAAATTTCCCAAAAATGCTGGTGGATTTTCATAAGGATTCTTAAAAAATAATTGTAAACAGATGTGGAAATGTGGAGAACTTGATACTGGAAAAATTAATAATTTCAGACTGGAGAAATAAAAGCTGTGAGAAACCAAAACTGGCTGATTCAGCCATTCCTACCCAAAACCTTGGCATGTGCCAGGCAGACTGACATCCGAGGGCCAGGGTCTGAGGGGGTCTTCCTAGTGTGGCCTGTGGTGTGCAGTGAATTCCCTTCTCTTTCCCCCTCTAGGATGTGAGAAGCACCTTGCAGAGGTAAGTGGATCTGGCTCATTTCCATTAGCTTCACTCTTTGAAGCTGAGATGCAGGAACCTCAGACATGGCCCTCCAGGGGCTGCAGGGGGGAGACTGGAGGACTCACTCCCTGAGGCATCTCACAGGTAAAAGCAGGGGCCCCTCTTTGGAACTTGACAATGGGTAGATCACAGTTGGTCTTTTTATACTGTGAGTAGATCACAGTCTCTTGGGAGTTGGACGTGCCTGCCTTAGCTGTTTCCTTCTAGACTGACCAGTTCAGTCACTCTGCCGGCCACCCCACCCTGTCCCAAGCAAACTCCTGCCCCATAGAGCCCCTTGGGAGGGGGCGATTTCTCACCAAGGAGCAGGAATTGGCTATTTTCTTGACCATATTCCGGCTGCAGTATTTATATTGAAGGAATCACTCAGGTGCAGAGTAGAGGTTTGAAGGAACATTTCTTGTTTCCCAACAAAAGTGCATCTCTTTTTCTTCCTCTCCCCTTCTCTGGGGACATCTAGAGAAAGGACATGTGTGCTGTGCTCTCACCACCCTCAGACAATTCCTGCCCCTTGATACCATAGGATTCTGCTGCTGCTTTGAATAGACATCAGTGGGGAGACTCAGAGGCCTGGGGTTGCTGTTTTGGCCCTTGGGGGTCTGGCTGAGGAGTCCGTAGTGAGGAAGAAACTCCCCACTCAGCGCATGCCTGTCCCTCTAGGCCTCCTCCCAATTCCTTTCTTTTCCTTTAACAGAAATTGCAGATTTGAATGGGCTGACATTGTTCTTCTTTTCACCAGGTATGATGAGAAAAGAGAGAGTCCAGAGAAGCCACTGCCTTTCCCTCCAGAGCTGAGGAACAGGGTCTTGGAATCCTGTGATCTAAATCACCTTGTGGAGGATGCAATGAAGCAATGGGAAGGTAATGGAAATTGGCTGCCAGGATTTCACACTGGGATTTCTATTATTTCTTCAGAACTGAACATGCCAGGCTCTTACTGCATGGAATTGCGTAACCCCAGGATACCTTCCTTCTTGGGGCTCCAGCCTTCATTTCCTGTCCCCCCAGAATGGCCCATGTATATTGTGACGCTGGATCCTGTAAAGGAAGCCTGAACCAGAGGGTATCTCTTTTCAATTCTACGGAACCTCCTTTTCCTTTTGGTTACCAGTCTACATAAATCTGGGGTTGTCCTTTGGGAGGTTCTCCTGCTCTGAATGGAGTCAATTCAAGGATGCTACATTATGAAGTGTTCCTTTTGTATGGAGATTTATCTCAGGTGGAAGAGTGTTGCCCTTACACGTTATATCTTTTTGCTTCCTCAGATGCTGTGTTATACAGAAAACAGACTCAGAAAGGTAAATTTCCAGGGGAGGAACAATTTGACAGGAGGGATGGGGACTGATATTTCATGGTGTTAAACCGTCTGTTCTGCAGACTTTGGGACCACCATCAATGGCGTCACTCTGGGAAACAGTCCTCTAGTGGTGTTTGGGTTCTTGGTCTGTCCCATGAATGAACTGGGAGAGGGTTTGAAGGCTTGGATTGGGGGCAGAGCTTGTCCCTGTGAAGAACCTGCACACCAGTCTGAGTTCCATTCCTGCCTATAGACTAGGATCCTGGTTTCACTCTCGATTTTATAGATTTTGCTTTCTTTCATAAAATCTGTATACTGCTTGTTTGTAGGGAAAACCCTCAGAGTCTTACAATATCTTACAAAACCTTAAGGAGGATCCTGCAGGGTCAGTCCAATGTCCATCTTGTCGCCTTCTCATGTATAAGGAATCTCCCTTGCATTTTGTTTTCCCTCCACACAATCTGCAGAGGTTCTTTTGGGGCTTTTGAGATCAGCCCCATTCCCGGCAGGAGGACTTCCCATTGCATGAGACCTTTGGAATTACAGGGTAAAGCTCTGCCGATTCTTCCTCTGGTTTGTCAGCATGCTTGGAAATTCCAGTTTCAACAGCTTTTCCCCACTAGTTCACTTGGCGCAGATAGAATCATAGAGTTGGAAGAGACCACAAGGGCCATCGAGTCCAACCCCCTGCCAAGCAGGAAACACCATCAGAGCACTCCTGACATATGGTTGTCAAGCCTCTGCTTAAAGACCTCCAAAGAAGGAGACTCCACCACACTCCTTGGCAGCAAATTCCACTGTCGAACAGCTCTTACTGTCAGGAAGTTCTTCCTAATGTTTAGGTGGAATCTTCTTTCTTGTAGTTTGGATCCATTGCTCCGTGTCCGCTTCTCTGGAGCAGCAGAAAACAGCCTTTCTCCCTCCTCTATGTGACATCCTTTTATATATTTGAACATGGCTATCATATCACCCCTTAACCTCCTCTTCTCCAGGCTAAACATGCCCAGCTCCCTTAGCCGTTCCTCATAAGGCATCGTTTCCAGGCCTTTGACCATTTTGGTTGCCCTCCTCTGGACACGTTCCAGTTTGTCAGTGTCCTTCTTGAACTGTGGTGCCCAGAACTGGACACAGTACTCCAGGTGAGGTCTGACCAGAGCAGAATACAGTGGCACTATTACTTCCCTTGATCTAGATGCTATACTCCTATTGATGCAGCCCAGAATTGCATTGGCTTTTTTAGCTGCCGCGTCACACTGTTGGCTCATGTCAAGTTTGTGGTCAACCAAGACTCCTAGATCCTTTTCACATGTACTGCTCTCAAGCCAGATGTTAACCTTCCTCCAGCCATTCAGTACAGATTCCCATTTCATTCATGGATTCTGAATGATGGTATTCCACCATTTTCTAGCATGGTTTACCATTTCTGATTTCCTCATGGAATCATGGAATAGTAGAGTTTGAAAGGATCCCAAGGGTCATCTAGTCCATGGGTAGGCAAACTAAGGCCCAGGAGCTGGATCTGGCCCAATCTCCTTCTAAATCTGGCCCGCGGACTGTCTGGGAATCATCGTGTTTTTACATAAGTAGAATGTGTCCTTTTATTTAAAATGCATCTCTGGGTTATTTGTGGGGCATAGGATTTTGTTATTGTTTTTTTTTTCAAAATACAGTGGCACCTTGGGTTACAGATGCTTCAGGTTACAGACTCTGCTCACCCAGAAATAGTACCTCGGGTTAAGAACTTTGCTTCAGGATGAGAACAGAAATCGTGCTCTGGCAGCGCAGCAACAGCAGGAGGCCCCATGAGCTAAAGTGGTGTTTCAGGTTAAGAACGGACCTCCAGAACAAATTAAGTACTTAACCCGAGGTACCACTATATAGTCCTGCCCCCCACAAGGTCTGAGGGACAGTGGACCGGCCCCCTGCTGAAAAAGTTTGCTGACCCCTGGTCTAGCCCAACCCCCTGCAATGCAGGGATCACAGCGAAACACGTTAGTTGTTTTAATTCCTTAGGCCTTTAGTTGTTATCTTTGCAAGTATTTGCTCTATGATGTCATCTTTTGCTTAAAATAAGGAAAGAACAGGTGCTTTACAAAATATATATATATTCTTTTGAGCTATTGCAATGTAGCCTCTTAACCCTCTTTTTGCTTCCTCATATGTCCAGTCTTTCAGAAATCTCCGCGGAGGTAAAATTCACATGGAGACCCCAGTTCACAGGAGGGTGGGGACTAGTGTTTCATGGGGGGTGAAGAGTCTCTTCTGTACAGCTAGACTCTAGCCCTGCTGCTGTTTGTGCCACAAAGGCAGAGAGGGGGGACTTGAAGGGGGGAGAGAAACTGCCCAGAAGGATCAGGCGGAGGAGGACGGAAGAGTTTTACTCCTGGCTAGAGAGAGTTGGATCGCTTTTCCATCATCTGACCTTTTTCAGGTGGCCTGGTTGCCATGTGTCCTCTTTTTCCTGTCACATCCTCTATTTTCCTGATTAAAATTGTTGCCCGGGCGGATTTTTAAAATTTGGCATAATGTCCCAAGTTTTTTGGTTTGGTTTTTTGGTTTACATGAACGCACGGAATTTTTCTAGTGTATTAGACTCAGATCTAAGACACCTGGCTTAGCTAGTCTGCAGCAGAGAATCACAACAGAGCTGCATCTTAAGCTAGCAAAATCTGTTCGCTTATGGCTGAACTAAAAGGACGCTGCTGAGCTACAAGATCTTGGGGAAGGAGTGCAGGAGGGCAAGAGTTAACATCCCCCTGCCCTTAAGGAGACTCCATATGTACATATTAAACAGTTTAATGAATTGTTCTGTGCATTCTTATGTTCACAAAGATGTGAACATGAGCCCAAATAACTTCATGTGGCAAGCAAGGGAGCAATATATATATATATATATATATATATATATATATATATATATATATATATTATTATTATTATTATTCTATGATGTCATAGATGATCAGGCGGAGGAGGGAAGAGTTTTACTCCTGACTAGAGAGAGTTGGGTTGTTTTTCCATCATGTGACCTTTTTCAGGCCTGGTTGCCATGTGTCCTCTTTTTCCCAGCCATGTCTTCTATTTTCATGATCAAAATTTCTTAAAATTTGTATCGGGGCAGATTTTTAAAATTTGGGAAAATGTCCCCAAGGTTTTTTGTTCGTTTTTTTGGTTTACAAGAACCCATGAAAATTTTAATATTGCATTAGAGCAGGCATAGGCCACCTCGGCCCTCCAGATGTTTCAGCACTACAATTCCCATCATCCCTGACCACTGGTCCTGTTAGCTAGGGATCATGGGAGTTGTAGTCCCAAAACATCTGGAAGGCCAAGGTTGCCTATGCCTGCATTAGAGTCAGATCTGAGGCACCCAGTTCGGCTAATCTGCAGCAGAGAATCACAACAGAGCAGCATCTTAAGCTAGCGACATACTGTAAAAACCCCTTCTCTTGTGGCTGAACCAAAAGGACGCTGGCTCAGCTACAAGATCTTGGAGAAGGAGTCCGGGAGGTCAAGTGTTAACACCCCCCTACCCTTAAGGAGAGTCCACACGCAGATGTTCAACAGGTTAATAAATTGTTCTGTGCACACTTACATTCAGAAAGATGTGAACATGCGCCCAAATATTTCATGTGGCAAGTGAGGGAGCTATATGTATTCTTATTATCATTCTTTTGTTGTTGAAAGTTAAGAACATTGCTACTAGCACTATATCACAGCTTCTATAGCCTACATATAGTAGGGGTATTTCAGAGGAGAGTCGTCCTAGCGATCCATGGTGAAAAGTCAAAGTTGGCCAATGTGTCCTCTTTCTTGCTCTCCAAAATAGGGCAGCCCTACACTTGCCTATCATGACTGTCTCAGCCCCAAACTGGTAACCTTTTCAGTTATTCCCCCTTTCCCCCAGGGAACTAGTCTTATGGTATATATGAAATCCCCAAGAGAAGCATGGAATAAGGAGTCCTTTGTACAATTGCCCTTCCACCTGCCTCCTCTTCCCTGGCGGCAAGGCCTAAACTTCCAAGATGGTTGGGAGGAAGGAGAGACCAAGTGAGTGAGAGAGATGGGGAGCAGGAATAAACAGGCTCCCCACTTAACACGATTTTCACTTTTGTGCACGAGGGCCCAGAACATAACTCCCGCACAAGTGAGGGGAAGCCTCTATGTGGTTTTGTGTTGTATTTTAATGCTGTGAACCACCCTCAGACCTATATATGATGGGCAGTATGCAAAGGTGGATATTTATTATTATTATTATTATTACTACTACTATTACTGCTGGGGGTCCTCCTCCCCCAGCCCAAGCCAGAGCTCCCCAAAGGCCAGTTCCCACAGAGATTGTCAGAGGAAAGCAGCTTCTCTCCTCTCCTGCCTCCTCCAATTCTCCTCTCTTTAGCAAAAGGTTTCCTGGGTGGTTTTCCCCCTTAGAAAATGCCTGGTTTGGAAGGAGGGCAGGCACAATGGACATTGAATATAAGAAAGTGAAGGAAACGGAGTTAAAAATCAACAAGGAAGTTATTTCTTCTGATGAGAGTCTGCAAGGAGGCGTCTCAGTATCCCATGTGATTGAAAAGAAATCCCCTTGAGCTGAAAGGGAATCTGGGTTTTTCGGGTGCTTCTTGGATTAGGATGTCCATCTCTCTCTCTCTGCTGACTCTGCCTAATCTTCTCTTTCCCTCCTCTTCTCCCCAACAGCAAATGTCACTCTGGATCCAGACACAGCCCATCCTGAACTCATCCTGTCCAAGGATGGGAAAAGCGTGATGCATGGAGACAAACCTCAAGCCCTGCCTGACCATCCGGAGAGATTCAGATGCGACCCTTGTGTGTTGGGACGGGAGGGATTCACAGCAGGCAGACATTTCTGGGAAGTCACTGTGGGAAGTGGGGGGGGGGGTCTGTGGGGGTCGCCAGGAAGTCTGTGGGGAGAAAGGGGTGCCTCCCCTTTAGGCCTGAGGAGGGGAATTCGGGAGGGAAGTACCAGGCCTTCACCTCCCCTGAACCCTCTCCTCTTTCCCTGAGGGAGGATCCGGGTGACTCTGGACTATGAAGGGGGACGTGTGTCTTTTTCTGACGCCGAACTCTGCACGTTCTCAGGAGCCTCGTTCTCGGGAGAGAGCCTCCTCCCTTTCTTTCATCTGAGGGGAAATGAAACCCACCTCAGGATCTCCTGAGGAGACTAGATCTGCCTCTCAGGCCCAGCAGGAGTTTCTCTCCAGACCAGAGGGACGGACATTTACCCACCAGGAGAACCTGGGGCAGTTTTTCAAGGGCCCTTTGAGAAGATTCCTTTTCCTTCCTTTCCCCACAATTCCCTCTGCAGCTTGCTTCTTCTGAAAGAGGCAGTCACACTTTTAACAGTCCCAATAAATCATCTTTTCCTCACTCTCAGTCTTCTTTTCCTTTTGAGGTGTCTGATTTGGCAGAGCACGAGACAGGAGGGTGGGGACTAGTCTTTCATGGGGGGTGAAGAGTCTCTTCTGTGCAGCTAGACTCTAGCCCTGCTGCTCTTTGTGCCACAAAGGCAGAGAGGGGGGACTTGAAGGGGGGAGAGAAACTGCCCAGAAGGATCAGGCGGAGGAGGAGGGAAGAGTTTTACTCCTGGCTAGAGAGAGTTGGGTCGCTTTTCCATCATCTGACCTTTTTCAGCTTGCCTGGTTGCCATGGGTCCTCTTTTTCCTGTCACATCCTCTATTTTCCTGATTAAAATTTTTGCCCGGGCGGATTTTTGAAATTTGGCATAATGTCCCAAGTTTTTTGGTTTGGTTTTTTGGTTTACATGAACGCACGGAATTTTTCTAGTGTATTAGACTCAGATCTAAGACACCTTGCTTAGCTAGTCTGCAGCAGAGAATCACAACAGAATGCCGTATTGGCCCGAATATAAGCCGCACCCACAAATAAGCCGCACCTTTAAAATTCAAGGGGGGGGGAGAAAAAAAGATAATACCCAAATATAAGCCACTCCCTTAAAATTGGGTTACAGGCTGAAAATTGCTGCCACAGGTACAAGTGTAACTCCGAGCCAATTTAAGCCTTTGCTCTTGCAAGCCCACAAAAGTTACCGTACAATCGCTAAAATCGCAAATCACTATTCAGCTGCTACAATGCCGCAGGCACTCACACCCGTAAATGGCAAATGAAGTCTCAAGCTCGCAAATCGGCAATAAAACTTTTTTTTGTCCCCTTTTACCGTATGTCTGTTTCAGCAGCAATATCGTAAAAGGCGGTTTTTGTAAGGTCGCAAATTTAAGCCACACTTTAACTTTTCAAGGTCAGAATTGGGGGGGGGGGAGTGCAGCTTATATTCGGACCAAATAATAATAATAATAATAATAATAATAATAATAATAATAATAATAACAACAACAACAACAACAACAACAACAACAACAACAACAACAATAATAATAATAATGCACCGTTTCTAATAAGGCTGCACCTAAGATAGCTCAGATGGCAGAGCATGAGACTCTGAATCTCAGGGACGTGGGTTCCAGCCCCATGTCGGGTGAAAAATTCCTGCATTGCAGGGGGTTGGACTAGATGACCCTCGGGTCCCTTCCAATGCTGCGATTCTGCAAGGATTTGTGCAGCTGAAGAGTTAAACCCACAGAGCTGCAATGGCTAGAGTTGCAGGAGGGAGGCCGGCTTGTGAAAGCCAGGAAGGGTTTTTCCTCCCTGGTTAGGGGGTGGGCCTTGGTTTTGAATTTCTTTTGCAGCTGGCATAAAAGGAGGAGGAAAGAAGGAGAGGAGGAGAAGACAGGAGGACAGTGTGCTAGACTGGGGCATGGAGGCGGAGAGGCAGGGAATTGCTGGAGGAGGAAAAAAGACCCTCTTTTGCAATCGCTCTCCCTCCTCTGGGTAGCAGGCAGGGGTCTCTCTGCTGCTGGTTTCCCCCTTCCAGAAGAAGCAAACTCTTTGAGCAAGCTGGGTCAAAGGGTACGTGGACAGCGCTTTTCTATGGGGTACTGGGGAGGGGCGGTAGAAGAGGGGGACGGCATGGGGCAGGGAGCCTCCTAAAACGAAGGGGGCCTGCCTGCTTGAGCCTCCTACAATTCCTGGGTGATGGGGGGGGGGCTTCTGCAGAGCATCGGAGACCAAAGCGCATAGCAGCGTATCGTTAACCTCTGGAACTCCCCTCCACAGGAGATAATAATAATAATAATAATAATAATAATAATAAAATTTATTTATACCCCGCCCTCCCCAGCCAAGACCGGTCTCAGGGCAGCTAACACCCAATATAAAAACAAATACAATTTAAAAACAAGGAGTTCCTGAAGACAATGGAGTCTCCTCTGCCCGGATCGGCGAGGCGGCCCCATGGGACGATGCCAAGGGCTTTCTGGCCTCCTTTGAGCGGGTGGCCCAAGGGAGAGTGGGCGGCCAGGCTGCTGCCAGCCCTCCGAGGAGGGGCCGAGTGGGCCTTTGGCAGCCTGGAGGCCAGCGACAGAGAGGATTATGGGGAAGTGAAGGCGGCCATCTTGCGCGGGGACACCACCGCCCAGGAGAAGCAGCGGCAGCAGCACTTCCGCCGCTTCTGCTACCAGGAGGCCGAGGGGCGAGGCCTATGGCCGCCTCCAGGAGCTCTGCCGTGGGTGGTTAAAAGTGGACCGGCACACCAAGGAGCAGATTCTGGAACTGCTGATCCTGGAGCAGTTCCTGGCTATCCTGCCGCCCGAGGTCCAGGGCTGGGTCAGGGAGGCCGGGCCTGAGAGCTGCTCCCAGGCAGTGGCCCTGGCCGAGGAAGACCTCCAGGCGCAACGGGAAGCTGAGGGGCAGGAGCTCACATGCGCCTTGGGGCTGTGTTGCTGGGGGGCTCCTGGGGGGCTGATCCTGCCACTCCCTGGGTTGTTAACCAAGAGAGCGAAGCCTGTCCGTTTCATGCTGATTAAGGAGGGGAAGTCCAATTCTATGCCCCTAGCTCACTCAGGGAAACACTTAATCTCAGGGTTGCGGGTTCAAGTCCCGTTTGGGGGCAAAAGATTCCTGCGTTGCAAGGGGTTGGACTAGATGACCCTCAGGATCCCTTCCAACTCTATGATTCCTGTGCTCTTCTAGGCATACTCCCCAAGTGTCCCTTGTCTCCAATGACAGTTCTGGAATTATGAAAGCCATCCCAGCTTCTGATTTGATCCTGGACTGTCCCTAATTCCGCTGCCAGTGCCGAGATCGGGGAATAGTATGAGCTGGCCCTTGTCCCAAGCCATGGCGGCTGCGGCGGCTGTGAGAGGGCATCCTGTTGCCTCTCCATGGCCTCTCCACGGCCGCTGCTACCAGCTTCCTCCCTTGGGCAGCTGCTAGTGGCTGCTAGATAGCGGGTGGGGAGGAGAGGCCACCACCATTAAGGCCCTGTTTGACGTGCCAGCTCTGAGGGGGAGGCAGAGGACAAGAAGAAAGAAAGAAAGAAATATTTAGCTGGGAAAGAAGAAAGGGGGAGTGGAGCAGAGCACAAGGAATCTTGATTTTTGGACAGTGAAACCTCAGTTTTCGAGCGTATCGGATGCTGAACGATTCGGAACCCGAACGCCGAAAACTCGGAAGCAATTCTTTTCGTTTCAAAGTCAAACGGCTTCCGAGTCGCATTTCTCCATTTTTTCAAGGGATTTCACGCCCATTGCGCCTCGGCTGTCGAACGTTTTGGAAGTCGAACGGTCTTCAGGAACGGGTTGCGTTTCAAAAACTGCTGTATTTGAAAAAAGTGATTTGTGCGTCTGCATCTAATCTTGCCCCTTTCTAAAATGTATTCATTGGCGTGTGCTTCTCTTTTTGTCAATTGACCAAAAAAGAAAGCCGGGGTGAAGGGTTTTTCTCAGGAGGGCGTTTGTGCTGCATCCCCTTGGTGTGGTCGTGGTGGGAATGCTCTGCTGGGATGGGTTGGGGAACAAAAATGGGGGTTGGGGATGAGGAGGGTCAGTTGAGTGGGGAGTGACAAATGCCCCTCTTTTCATCTAAGGAACGTTGGAGGGTATGGCTGGGTGATGGCTTCAGGGTGGGGTTTGAGGGAGGCTCTGGGTTTTCCGCCCAGGCCTCTCCCTCCTTGCCCTGTTGCTCTGTCCTGACAGGGTTCCTTCCTGATGTTGCAGGTGGGATTTGAGGAGGCCGCCGCAGATGTCTCTGAGGAAGTGCCGTCCGCAGATGTCGAACAGAGGCCCCTATACGTGGAGGCCAAGCAGGAAGATGCAAGCGAGGCCCAACTGGCAGGGAAGTAGGGCCGGATTTAGAGTCGTGCCCCCTGGATCATGCACCTTCATTGTATTGCTCCCATCACAGGCTGAAGACACCACCACTTTGGCTTCGCGTGTGCAGAGGAGGGCAACTAGGATGATCTAGAAGCTAAGCCTTGTGAGGAACGGTTGAAGGAGCTGGGGATGTTTAGCCTGCAAAAGAGGAGACTGAGAGGAGATATGGTAGCCATCTTCAAAGATGGCTGTCACATGGAGGATGGAGCAAGCTTGTTTCCTCCTGCTCTGGAAGGTAGGATTCAAACCAGTGGCTTCAAGTTGCAGGAAAGGAGTTGGATGGGCATCTGCCATGGATGCTTGAGCTGAGATTCCTGCCTTGCAGGGGGTTGGACTAGATGACCCTCGGGTCCCTTACAACTCTATGATTCTATGATCCAAGAGACACGTTTTTCAGGTCACAGAAGATCGCTGTGACTGTAAATTGTTTTGAACTGCTTTTAGCATTGATTTTTTTTTCTTTATTACGGTCCAGAGACCCAACAAATTGTTACAAAGCAATGCACAATTCAGACAGCCTACCTCCAGGTTAAACAAGCATTTTGTTCAGACTTAAAGACAGGGATCATTGGTTCTTGCAACCACCGATAAAAACTTTGCCACTGCTAATGTTCTAGCGTTTGTCCGGTCTTCCAATAGGAACCTGACATAATGAGCCTCTGATTTTCCCAGGAGAGGTACCAGCAAGGGTAATATCAGTTCAGCCTTGGCTTGCTCATGTTTCGCAGCAAAATATGTTTTATAGAATCGATGTCTTGAGCACATGAGCAAAGTCTGTCCTGGTAGGGAACTCCTCTCAACCTGCCATCCAACACTGCAGAAGGAAAGACGTTTAGTCTGGCTTTGGTGAACAACCTTAGATAATTTGGTACTGAATTTTAAATTTCTGTAGTCCACTGAGGGACGTTAGGGTGAAGAAATCAAATTAA